ACTAAAATAAAAGTTGTCAAGGTCTGAAAAAGAGATTAGCTCAAAGCACTTTCTGATCAAACAAAGCTTAAATAGAAATAATTGTCCTAACGTAACAATCAATGGCGTAGCAACACAAATAGGCCCGTAAGCAACATTATCTGGGAGGGCCCCATATGACGTAAAACACTCTGGATTACACATAATTCCAAGCTGTAGTGTAAAAAATAAAATACGCAAATACATCATTCTTTTAAGATCTCAATTGCTGCTTGAAACATATTATATGACTGTATTTTTAACCAACTGTCTAATGAACTATACACAGTTATTAACATAGTAATTAAAAGTACAATGGTCTGCTTTGCTATTGGCATTGTGTCTAAATGGCTCACCATCTTGTTGAAATCTGCCATATTTTGGGGTATAAATAAGGTCTGGTCAATCATTGAAAAATCAGTTGGACTTTTAGAGGAATTTTTCACACCATTATGTCTGCAATCAGATGTCCTATTCCACAATTGCGAAGGGGGCCCTAAAATTGTCAGGGGCCCCTAAGCAACTGCAGTCTCTGCTTACTGATAGTTACGCCATTGGTAACAATACAAGCTCTATCTAAAATGACAGTTTCAAATTACAGGTTTATAGATTTAGAAATTATGTAGACACATAAACTGATTAGGAAGAATACTAATTTGAGATATGTTAAATTACATTTAGACTAGTCAAAATTCCTTTCAAGATATCTCAAATTATGATACCGGATTTGTCATTTAAAGCGTCACACATATGTAATTCATATGTAGGGGCGCTGAAAATAACAGTAAATGGAGCTGATTTAACTTTTCCTTCTGTGGATTAAACTGACAGTAAGGAATTTTTTATGAATGATCCTCCTTGAAGCCCATTAAAAAGATCATGACACATTTTGACTAGTCCGAATGTCAATTTAAGATATCTTTATTGAAAAAGCTGAATAATTCAGGATATCTTTAATTAATTTATAGATGTGTTAAAAAGAATTTTGTGTAGTTGAAATTACAATTCAAGATATCTTTAAATTTGTTTAGCCTAGTCATTAGTTGCTTTGAAGATATCTATAATTGAGTTTTCACTAGTCAAAACTGCATATCTCCTATCCTAAAATACATTTAAGATATCATGAATTATGGTGTCATTCAAGATATATTTAATTAGAATTATGACTAGTCAAAACTAAAATCGAGATATCTTGAAATTACTTTATGACTAGTCGTAAGTTAATCGTATATATCTGAAATGTGTATTTCAGATAGTCAGTAATTCATTCTAGATATCTTAAATTGACGTCTCCATATAAGTTAATGTTAAATCTGACATCATTTCGACTAGTCAGAATGTAATTAGAGATATCTTAAATCGCTAAAGCTTCTAGTCATAAAACAATTTGAGGTACCTTGAATGTAAAGGCGGTACAACCGAATTTATGTTAAAATGGCTTGCCATATAACTCAGGTCAGCGAGAAGAGTGCTCCAAACACGAATCTCAACTTCCCAAAGCATCAGCGTGGGTTAAACAGTTTCCTTCGGCGACTGACTCATTTAAATTTGCTTAATAAAATGATTCAGTGGAGCAGGATGCGCCATGCCTACTCAGTAGGAGGGCTGAGCAAGCCTGTGAAAACACAGCTGAGCTGCAGGATACTTGCAAACATGACGCGTTAAAACAAATATGGGCAATAATAAATATGAAATATGAGCAATTTGCATTTTTTCTAAGTTTATACAAGATGTTCAACTCAGCGAGTCAGTAACCTGTCTTGCAGCAAGGATGTTCAACTCTGTCGAGTTTCTGTGTTAACTGTAAGAAAAAATAAATATTTTCTGATGCAGTTATATATTTCAGCACCAATAACAGTGTGTACATATGTGAAAACGAGTAAATAACTATTAATATTTTTAACATATGTTAAATACTCTATGATACAAAATAGGGGATTTTTTTTGTAAAGAAGAAGAAGGCACCCTTTTATTGTAAGTTTATGTAATTTAGTGGCCCATTTGCTGATAAAGTTGCTGTTTCCGAGCTTTCTTGAACATACCATCGGACTACAGGAAGTTAAGTGTTTTGCTTTTTCGTCAGATGTAGCCATCTAAGCTAGCTATGATAGCCGACAGCCGCTTCCGCCATGAACACCTCACTAATGTTTAGTTTTAATCTTGGTACGAAAACGACTTCTTGAAGAAAACAGAAGCTGAAACAGTTGTCAAGGTAAACGTCAAGAGTTTAACCAATCCCAACGGGGTTCTTTATGCTAAGCTAAGTGTTGCTGCAAACTTTATTGACATTAGCTTATTGGATGCAGTTTGTTTATCTGTCAGATTGTTGTTTTTTCTAATCATTCAACGTAATTGGACATGGTAAACTTTGTGTGTCCACTGACCAGGGGGATAAATGAGCTGAGTTTATGTCAAATGCAGCTTAAAGTTCAGTCGTTAGGCTACAGCCTCAATTTATTGTGTGCTATGTCTGTTAATTTTCAATGACTATAGTGCATAGTTTCTTTTAATAATATACTCTATCTTAAAAGATTGTAAAACAAAAAAAATGCTTTAATCAGGAGAGGTGCTACTAGCTGAGAACTAATGTCTGAGATTAACCTGCTTTATTTTATTGAGTTAATCTTTTTTTTTTTATTATTTATTTTTTTACATCCTATCTTAAAGGTATATCCCCTTTGTATTGTGTGTTTTTTTAAATAAATTAATTCATTTATCAGTGTCTAGCTTTTGAAAATAGATGGTTCCCACTCTGCCTGTTACTAAACTGGAGTTAATTTCAGTATTTTCAGGTCAAAATAGGCTGCTAATAGAGGAAAAATAAGTTATACCGGTATTATTTTATTGATCCATTCATCCTTTAATCCAGCCAAATCTTTCATATATTTAAGTCACTCATCCAACCAGTAAAATGTGTCTAAACCATTAAAAGCAGTTCCTTAATCGTTGACATAATAATCAAAGTTGGATCCACTTATGATCTTAGTGCAGAACAGATATAATTTAGCACTGGTTTCAATGTGCTGAGTAATTAATAGTAGCTGGAAGGCTAGAGATGTACTCTACTGATAGCTTAAGGGGTTTATTTTAACATTGCTGCAAGGCAAAAATACCTGGATGAGTATTCTGATGCAATGAAATAATATTCAATAGTTGTTTACATTTTAAACAGTTTTTACCTGCTATGTTATTCAGGGGGTGAATAAAAAATCCCTGCAGTGGTAAATATGCTGAATTTAAATGAGGTAGTGAAAGTGCCCTTGGTCTTATGTAAAATTGAGTGCTTCCTACAAATGAGAAACGGAAAACTTTCCTATACATTTAGGAAAATCTAAAAGATTTTTCCCCGCTCCTTGAATATTGCAAATGGTTGTTAACAATTTGGACCCCAAATGTTCTGTTTTCTCTTTACAGCTGAGCCGAGTAGCATGCTGGACGTGGGGAAGTGGCCAGTGTTTGCACTCCTTCCACCTGAGGAACTACGGCTTATCCGGCAGGCTTGTGTCTTTGGCAGTGCTGCAAATGAAGCTCTCTATGTCACTGTTAATGATGAGGTAACACTTAGGCTTTAAGCAAACCTTAATCCTGTTGTTTGGACTAAGGTGTTCTGGCTTGACTTGATAGACCTAATCTACTTTCAGGATATTGATTTTATCGTTCCTGTTTTGTCTTTAAGTAAGGGAAAAACAAGGTTTTAGGCTCTTGTCTGAAGTTGAGACAAGGGGCAGTAGTCGGCAGAGAGATAAGCAGATAGAATGAGACTATCCTTAGCCATATCAGCCTAATACCCAAGCATGCTCTATATTTAACCAGGGGAAATGCGCCATGCATTTCTCTTCTGTGCATCCATGTGTTCATTCCTCACTGTGATAGACAAGCAATTTGGCAGGAAAACAATTTGTATTTTGATATATAAATTAAAAAAATAGAGTTTATGGTACATAACTGCTTGCATGTTTACTTTATTATTATTATTATTATTATTATTATTATTATTATTATTATTATTATTATTATAATTATTATTATTATTATTATAGCTTTAACCCTTTATAGGGCAAGTTACCATTTCTGATCACTACCATACTCCTTACAAATGGAGTCCCCCCCTCGCTCAGTAAAGTCTAGAACAACAAGATCTATATCCAGCCATTCAGCAAAGATACTGCTATATGGCTCTACATCTTATTTTGGCATTTGACCAATTAGATGAGCCCTTGATATTACCCACTGCACATTAAGTTGAAAAAAAGTAAACAAGTCAAGAAAAAAAGGTAAAAAGTTAATTTAAAAGGTAAAGAAAAAAAGGTAAAAAGCTAATTGAAAAGTTAAAATGTACAGTTAAAAAGTTAATAAGCCTAGTTAACAATTATTTTTAGATTTATAAACTAAAAAAATATAAGTGCCATTATCAGCATCAATGCATCTAAGGTTATGTTGTACCAAAAAAGATGTTTCTTTCACTCTCAGAGTGTTTTTCTTATAGTAGCACTTATTTTGTGTTATTTTTCTTAATATATTTGGGCAAGTTGACGTTTCTTGTTATTACATTGACATAGATTTTTGCCATCAAAATTTTACAAAGGTCATAAGGTCTTATCCTGGATTCCAATAACACTATTTGTTGACAGGTGGATTGTCAAAGGACTTCAAGGCAAGGCAGCTTTATTTGTATAGCACATTTCAGTAACAGGGCAATTCAAAGTGCTTTACTTAAAATCAGTTAAAAAAATAAATACAACACAGAAGAAACAGTTAAAAATAAAAACAGAATAAAACACAAGAATAAAAATTACAGTGCAGTATAAGAGATAAAACAGTAAAGAAATGAACACCATTTAGAGAAAGGCAACATCCAAAAGAAAGGTGTTCTGCATTGATTTAAAAGAACTGAGAGAAGCAGCGGACCGGCAGTTTTCTGGGAGTTTATTCCAGATGTGAGGACCATAGTAACTGAAAGCTGCTTCCCCTGTTTAGTTCTGACCCTAGGAACAGAAAGTAGACCTGTCCCAGATGGGGACTGGGGGGTCTGGGGGGGTCATAGTGTACTAGCAGGTCAGAAATGTATTTTGGCCCTAAACTGTTTAGTGATTTATAAACTAGCACTTCATTGAGTGCCCCATAAAGGGTTAATTCAGTTTTTTTTATTTTTTCATTCAGTTTATGTAACCTTAAGTGCCTTGAAAGGCACTATAATTCAAATGTATTATTATTTATACAGTGCCATTCCCCAGCAAATCTGCCTCAAGGCTCTTTATAAGCCAAGCAGATCCAGATTTGTTTACAAAAATAGAAGGTTTATTCAGGCCAGTCGAAGATAAATTATTATGTATTCCAAAAAATCCAACTCGACCCAAGTTACCAAAAAATACAGTTAAGCTAAGTTTTTATGATGGTTAGTTAAAAGTTTTCTAACGGACTCCAGTGATGACAGCAATCTCTACTTCCTTCATAATGGCAATAAAAAAGATAACATCAGATAAACATCCTTAATGTTAAAAAAAAAATTCAAATGTATGTAAACTCTATTGTCTGTTTCTATTTATGTCATTAGCAGCATGTAATTCTACTTATACTAATACATTTAAATTAAATAGATGATGGATGATTTTATTTGACTAATGAAACCTCCATAAAATGAAAAGTAAAAACAAAAATGAGCACATTTCCATCTCCATTAATATTACAGCAGGAGAAGACAAGGCTTTGTAAACCTGTGGTTTAAATGTATCATTTAATAGCATCAGCAGCAGTTGAGCTGTGATGTTTGCTGTTTGCAGGTCTTTGCCTTGGGCACCAACTGTAGTGGCTGCTTAGGCCTCGGAGACCTTCAAAGCACTATTGAGCCGCGCAGGATTGATGTCTTGTGCGGAAAGAAGATTGTATCCCTGAGCTACGGTACAGGACCACATGTGGTTATCGCCACTGCAGGTAATCAGTTCACAATAGTTCAGAAAATCTTTATTTGACCTCAAGGCCAAGTTGTTATGGGAGGAAGAGAAATGGAAGCACGAGCTAACAGGAAAACATGTGTTTTTATTGCAGTGCCTTGCAAAAGCATTCATGATCTTTTTTAGGTTTTGTCTTTTTGCCACCAAAAAATCTGTTTTATTTTAATATGGGTTTTGGGTAAAAGATGAACACGCTAGTGTTTATAAATGAAATTGCAATCACACATTCAAGTCTTGTCATGTCCATAGTGCTGTCACCAACATGTTTCACCTTTGGGATGATGCGTGTAGGGTGATATGCTGTGGTAGTTCTTCCTCCAAACATAGCTATTTCTATTGTTGCTCTAAAGTTGCTCTATGATTTGTTTTAAGGTTGACTTTCTTTCCAGTCTCCCATTAAGGTCAGGTTTTCTGTTCTCCCAGCTGCTATTGAGCTCTGGAGTTACTAAGGGTGTCTTGTCCTGATTCTATTTATGGGTATTAGTGTAAAACAGGGTTTATTACAGATGTTTGTCACAGATTAAATATTATTTTTTAAATAGAAAAAGACCAAATATGAAAACCACTTGTCTTTTTTCCAATTTCAATCTCCAACATACATCAAAGTTGGTGTTTTTAATGTGAAAAAGTGTAGTTGGGTTCATCTGTATGAATCGTTTTGTATGGTATTGTTTGTTCCACCGTTTCCACCTGAACGTTTTTAAGACATATGAAGATGCTGTGAATGAACAAGCCAAATAATTTACATCATATTTGTTAGTTTTGTGTTGAAATTCTAGGCTGCATGTTTTTATTTGGTTTCCTTTATGTCACCCTTTCAAGACATTTTTAAAAGTCCTGCAGACTGTTGCCTATTCCCCTAAAAGCTGGTTCAATCCAACTGGACTTTTTCGTATCATTCGTTAAGAAAATATTAACCACTCTGACAACATGAATGAAAGTTTCCCTGTTGCCCTGTAGATGGGGAGGTGTTTGCCTGGGGCCACAATGGCTACAGCCAACTTGGAAATGGGACCACAAACCATGGTCTGATCCCCGCCCTGGTCTCCACCAACCTCATCAACAAGAGGGTGACGGAAGTGGCCTGTGGCTCCCACCACACCATAGCTCTGACCAGTGACGGAGAGGTACACCATCTTTTCTCCTCATTGCCTGTGGTCAGTCTGTATTTCCCTGGACTGTGAACTTTGTATCTTTGTGCAGGTGTATGCCTGGGGCTACAACAACTCGGGCCAAGTAGGTTCTGGGTCGACTGCCAATCAGCCAACGCCACGTCGGGTTAGCAGCTGTCTACAGGGCAAAGTGGTTGTCAACATAGCCTGTGGCCAGCTCTGCTCCATGGCTGTTCTGGACAATGGAGAGGTGTCATAACATGTTGCTTTGAAAAAGAACTCATACTTTCTGCACCATTGTGTTCTGTAAAGTGCCTTCCAAAAGTAGACTTTAACCTGTTTTACTTGGATTTAATATAATAGACCAGTTTAAATGTAAAGTGTTAAAGTGCATTGTATTAACCCTAATATAGGCAATACTTTGTAGAACTACTTGTTTTGGGTTTTTTTTACAAGTACAAAGCTCTACCAGCTCTGACATTTTGGCCTATTGTTGTTTGCAAAGGCCTCAAACTCAGTCAGATTGGATGAAGAGGTTCTTTGAACTTCAATTTTCACCTCTAGCGAAGTGAATTTACAGTGCAGTCTCATGGAATGCATTTAATTGCGTGGTTAAAATGTGATCAAATGTGAAAAGGTTTAACAAATGTAAAAATAAAGATCCAAAACAGCTAACCTTTTTAAAAAATATAATATTTTAGAGTTTAGTTTTAGGATTGTTTCATAAGCATAAAATAAAAAGCAACCTTATTCTTGCCTTTTGTAGATTTACGGTTGGGGCTATAACTGCAATGGGCAGCTGGGTTTGGGAAACAATGGAAACCAGCAGACCCCGTGCAGGATTGCTGCTCTGCAAGGTGTCAATATTGTGCAGGTAAGAATCCAGAGTAGCCGATACTTTTATAAATCTCCACTTCCTATTTTTCATTCATGCAGTTCCCTTTTCCAAATTCAGGTGGCATGTGGATATGCACACACGCTGGCCCTTACAGATGAAGGATTTGTTTATGCATGGGGAGCCAACTCCTACGGACAGCTGGGAACGGGCAATAAAAGTAACCAGGCCCTCCCCATCCTAATAAACACAGACAAGGAGAGGTTAGTAAACAGCTTGCATTGTGTTGTTAAGTAATCGCCGCATTTAAGCAGAGCCCTAAAAAAATTTTCCCAATAAAATTTTCCTTATAATGCCTTTTAAAGGTTACTAAGCTTGTAGCATTTTTGTCAAATTTCACCCGCAAAAATCTGTCTGACTGGATTTTTGTGTAGGAGGCCAAACACTGGAGTCTGTGATTTGATCCATGCTTTTAGAATCCATGTAAATTAAGTCTGATGGCATCTATTTGTAATCAGACACCTTTAACCGGATGTATTTGAATAAAATCTAGTTTAGCAAATATCTGCTAAAAGTCACTAGTGTGTAATTTAATCTACATCTGTTCTTACAGGCCTTCAGAGTTTGTTAAAGAAAACTAGTAAAGTGGAGAAGTTTAAGGCAGGGTCGAGTTATAAAATGATATCCTTAACTTCCCTAGAAGCGTAGCAAAATATATTGCTTTCTGTGGAGGAATCCAAAAATGCACATGACCATAAATACAGTTTTATATAATGATAGCAGCTTTATGCTGTTTTTCTGGTGGGATTCGGTAGGTTAATAAGATCAATACTGCAGTTAGAAGCATGAGAGTTAGAAAGGGGTGTGCAGTTTCACCTTCCAACAGAAGAAGAATCCCAAACATATGACAAGAGCATCAATGGAAGGGTTTAGACATAGTTTACATCTAAATTGAGAATTTGAGATGAAGCTTCTGAGGCTTTGAAATTATATGCAAAGATATTGGAGACATAGATTTAATTGCAGCCAAAGACCGGTGCATAGGCGGATCGACTGGGGTGGCATAGGGTGCCACCCTAAATGACAGCCTTGCCACCCCTGCTGCCACTCCAGTTGGCAGTAGGGGTAGCAAGGCTTATAAATCATGGATAATTTGAGAATTACGACCCCTAATTTCCAATGTCGGACTGCAGTGAATGCAGCACGAGATGACGCGAGAGCGACTGAGACTGATTAGTTTTGAAAACCGAGTGGGGCAAAGCGAGGGAGCCAGGGGTGATGGGGAGAGGAGACATGGGATGAAACAGGTAAAAACTGATTAACTATCTATCGAGAAATGAAATCATAATGAAAGCACAATGTTGCTAGCATAGCTGAAATGCTGATTTTGCGATGATAAAAATCAGGTAGCAGAACGTTATTTCTCTATCTATGATGTTAGTTAGGCCTGACGTCTCAGGCTCATAAAGATATATTTGACAGAAATATATGACAGAAAAGAGACAATCAAGTTTTTGTTGTACTCAAATCAAAACGCAAAAAGGCATTGGATCTAAATAAATTTGTAGGGTTGTCAAAAGTATCGATATTGAAAAGTTGCATCCGGATACAATACTCATTTTCAAAAATATCGATACAGTGCTACCACCAGTGGCACCTAAACAGTCATTCATTTTATGCGCAGATTAGAGGAAAATGCACTTTTGGAACACTGTGTGATTGAATAATTCTGTGCACTTTTCGGTTTCAGACTTTTTTCTGTAACAGGTGCAGCTGCTGAGAATTCATTTTGTTTTTTAACTGGTTTGGCTATTGTCATTGCTATGTGTGCAAAGCATAGCCAAGGAAGGAACACTTAATTTTAATTTAGTTTTTTATCAAGCTTGCTTAATATTGTGCACAGCATACAACCTCAAAATATTGTTTCTGTTGAATTTTGGAGTCTTTGTTTTTATCCTTGTGGTATTGAAAATGACATTGAGTATCAAATATTTTACTTAGTATCTGTATCGAGTTGAAAAGTTTAGTATCGTGACAACCCTATAAATTTGTGAAGCGTTTTGCTGAGCAACTTGGAAATCACCGCATTCAGCTGTTATAGTCATGTCAACTTTATGTTTTGCTCTCTGGTGAGCCTTTACAGAGCTGTTACATTTTGTTTTGGCACCTGAGAAAATCTGATATTTCCTTTAATAAAACCAAAAGTGTTAAAAGTAAAGTTAAAAATGTGATACTGGTGTAATATGAAGCAGTGTTGTTGTTTCTTTTTTTGTATATGTAGTATGAAACTATCCAGAAATGACCTGTATGAACCTACTCACAAAATGTTTTGTACTTTTTCAGACTGGAAGCAAAATTTATTTTTAGGTTGCGTCTTTCAGATTTGTGGAGATTTTGATGTAACATACAGTACCTGCCTTTTTGTTGATTTGTTGATATAGCAGCTCTATCTACAGC